AACTTATGAGTTGGCCTTGTGACAGCTGAGAAGGGATTATGCAATACCATGAGGATGTGATTAATACTGTAAACATAGTCAGTTGCATAATTATCACAGGTGCAAGACTAAGCTAACCAATGTTTTGAAGGCAGTGCTGTAACAGAACAGTTTTGCATTTCCCAATTCCGTATTTGGAGGAAAATGTGATGCCTGTCCGAAGGAGCTGTGCAGCTTGCATGGTCTTAGAGAACCAACAGTTAAATTATAGGAAAATGCTTGTTTCTGTCCTGAATATTTTAATCTTTGTGTGCTAAGTTACTGGCATGTTCAGAGGGTAATCTGTTAGGGTAACGTCTTCTCAGTTACAAGTCTGAAAAATAAATCCAAGTGTTTCTTTCTCGGGCTCTGGTGCCATTGTAAGTTTCTTCAAAAGTTTTGCAAATGCATGGTTTGGTTTTCTTTCATTGCTCCAGCAGGTTAAAAAAAGCAGTAAAGGAAGTGGAGAGAATCATAACCAAATACACTGCATATGTGTTTATTTAAATCTATAAAAATAAATTAAAATCCAAAGCTGCCAGTGTTTCTATCATGAGCTGGGAAAAATATATATATATATATATATATATATATATATATATAAATACTAGGATATTGAATTATCTCCTTAAAACTGATTTCCTTTAGTGCCATTCCCCTCCTAGTTAAGTGAATATGGCTGTATTAGGTTATGAATGTGGCTGTTTCAGGGCAAGGCTGAGGGTCCCCTCTTGTTTAAAGGATAAATTTGATTTAGGGGTGGGGGGGAAGAAAGAAAAGAAACTATATCCTTTGTTGCCAGGACTTGCAGCAGTGACGTCATATAAGTTGGCAGATCTGTGTATTTCAGGGATTTTACACTAATTAAATGCAGTAGTATTCTTTTGCCTTTTGAAATGAAACTTTTTTTTCCCTTCGTTATATACTTAGGGAACAAACATGCTGTCAAAATCCTTAATGTATCCAACTATTTGAACATAAGAATAGCATCAAGCTGTTATTTGTTCCGTTGGAGTGTACTCATATTTCCAATCAATCTTTTTTACCTGGTAATGTTAATTATATTTGAGCTGGAAGAAGTTTAACATTGAAAGGAATTACAGCAGATTAATCTGTAAACCTGCACAAATATCACATTCCTTTGTATGAAGGTAAGCATAGCACAGTGTGCATAATTATGCGTTGTTCCTTGTTTAGGTTGAGCACATAAAGCTGAGGAGTCCATGTTGCAGTTCTTCATGGCAGCATCAGTTAGGGCATGCTCCTGTGTCTTGAAGTGGTCACTTACATTACAAAATATACATTGTTCCTTTCTGTAAGATACCATTCTGTTTAAGAATAAGTAAGCAAAAATACAACAAAAAAAAAAACCACCAGAAAAACCCAACTTGCCCTGGAAACAGGAATTAGTGTACTAATTAGTGGTTGAAAATACACAGAAATCTTTTAAAGAATGTTTGCTGTAATTTTTTTTTTTTTTCCTGAAGTGATACAGCTTGAGGTTAGCCCAAGAAAGCCATTTATCTCAATCACCCCAAACCGTGTAAAGGTACTGTTTTATGCTTTTTGCAATTAGTGAGACAAAAGAAAATCACTAAAAATGAATTTAGGGAGATTTGTTTCTCCGCTTCCAGGTTTCAACAAGTGTTTTGTCTCAGTTGCACCAGTTTCTCCTCAGTTAGTGTGACAGGAGAGCAGCAAATAAGAACTGCAGTTTGTACTGGTGAACACAGATCGTTTGACTCGGTGCAACCGTGGATTGCAGTCATCTATGATGGAGGCTGTTTGATTTACTTACGTTGTCAAATCTGGTCATATAATCTACTGAGCTGAGCTAGGAGCAGTTTCTTAGAAAAAAAAAAGTTTTGGGAGAAACGTGGGAGAATGATGACCCATTTGTGCTGCAGAAGATGTGTCTCAATGGACTACATGGTCTGTCTGCTGAACAACTTTTGTATCAATTTCCAAATAGCTGTAAATTCCCCAGTTAGTTGATGTTTGCAGTGGCTGTAGAAAAGCTGTTGTGAATTTTGCACTTAGCATCTGAAAGCCTATGGGTAATGAAATGTCTGGCAAATCTCAAGAATTATATGTATGTCATAACAGTAATGCAGGTATTGCCTCTGGGACTGATTGGCATGTTCTGATAGCTCTGGTTCTATCAGTGTGTGGTTGCACTGTCCTTTCAGTTTGGACCTTGTTCTCTAATGGAACTTGCTGAATCATTCAAGTGGATAATGGCCATCACCACAAGTGACCACAAGGCACCTGAACAGAAACATCCTTGTAAAAGTTCAGAGTGCCATAAGTAAAACCTGTGTTAGTGTGACTAGTCATCCTGAAGAAATCTGTGGACTTGAAAAAATGAAAAGAAAATAAAAAGTGGGACAGACAAAATGCTGGTTATTTCAATGGCAGAACTTCCTCCTGCCCTGCTGTTAGTTGTCACCTAAAAGCTGTAGGGCTAATGTTCTTTTGCTTTGTAAAAAAGTTATTTTTTAAAAAAAAAGCTGAATAGTGGATGGCTTTTCTATTTAATAGCTGTTGTTCTTTAAAGAATATCTCTTAAGCTTAGTGATCATCTATTACAGTGAGGAAAAGGGATATAAAAGATTATTCATGCTAAGTGAAATGAAGATAGTGTTTATTGCATTTGTGTTCTTGCACTTTTTTTTTTTTTTTTTTTTTAAATTTTAGATTAACTCCTTAAAACAGAAGTGCAGTACACAGCAAGACTTTGCAGGCTTCCTGAAATAATGGTGCCAATGTATTTCCACCCTAATTTGCAGCATCTCTGTTACTACCTATCTTAGTCTCTTCTAAGCGTGACTGCTGACTGTTCCAAATTCACAGTTGTTCCATGATGACGACAGGGATCATCTAGTGAATAAATGGGGAACGCAGTATTCAATTTGCTGGTGACCTTGAATTTGATCTCTCTGTTGTCCTTAGCAACCTAGTCAATCTCTGTCCTGTTTATCCCAAGTCATCATTGCTAATGTATCATATAGAGATATTGGCAACTTTCTTCTCCTTGTGACTGTATTTGAATTGGTGAAAAAGAGAGCTAAGAATGAATAAAGAACTGCATAAATTCTTCTTCACTTTTTCCTTAGCAGTGTCAAAAGTGGCCACAGAGAGCTTCCCCAGTCTTTCTGTTCATTTTTGTATTTGTTTGAGGTAGAAACCACAAGTTTGATTGGAAATGCAATTTGCATCTTGAGGCATCACTGGCAATAATGCAATGGCATGAAAGGCTACTCTTCACGGAATGCACTTTTCCCTCTGGGCTGACTTTAGAAACTCATTGATGTCACTTCCTTCCTCACTCAGCAAGTGAATTTTCACTAATTCTCAAGACCAGCTGTCCATGTTGTCAATAGAAAGTTATTAAAATTCCTTTAAAGTGAATCAAAATAGCCTAAAAACAAATGTACTGGGAAACAGGAAAGCATCAGTATTCAAAGTCCACAAACCTTTGAGCAAAATAGTGTTGATCTAACCAGAGATTTCAAGCACTGTGCTTTCCTAGCAACTTGTATATCATTACAGAATGCTAAAAACAAATACTCCTTTTATTACCAACAATCTATTTGGCTAAAAATGAATTACAAGAATCAATTTTGTTACTTCCAGAGATGATCTCATTGAAAATACATTTGGGGAATTCTCCCCAAAACAGTAGTTTTTTGGATGATATTTTTTGTTTGACGAGGAAAAAAAAAAAAGCATTGTTGTTATATTTAGCAAACAAAAGCAGAACAGAAGCATGCAGGAAATAATTATCATGACAATCTTACAACATAGCCTGAAGTAATTATTTCTATCTGAGTTATCTGTATTGCTTTCCTTGAAAATAGGAGAATTCTCAGCAAGCGGTAGTGAAGAACGTTTTCCTTTAGATATGAGTGTGTTTTAATACTTTAAATATTTTCATTTCATTTTAAAGCTTCTGTCTTGTGCCAGACACATTGGCACAAAGCAATTCTGTTGAAATGGAACATCGTTTCTCACGCTGAAGGAGGCAGCCATCCGTGTTAGGAGGAAACAGACTCTCCCCTGGCAGCTTATTGTGCTACCAACATGTTGTAAACAATGTCCTGTCATTATTACTTAAAAACAAACAAAAACAAAAACCATTCTGGTGGGTACACGTGACTTAGTTGGATAAGTCAGTGTGAAATTCCTGACTTTTCCCAATACGTGTGGATGGTCTCCTGTAGCAGAGGGAGAGTAATTGATACCAGCTGCCTTTTTGACAGCTAGTGCATAAGAACAGTAAATTAAGCAAAATCACTGTCCCTTTTGATGTGAAAGAAAAGAATAGGTCTGAGATGTCATTGCTGCTAGGGTCACAGATGGCTGTAGGAGAGCAATGTTCTGTCTTCGGTTTGCTCACATCTTCCGGAGCACGCTGAAGAATGCTGCAGAAGGCCAGGATAAGGGAGCAAGAACGTAATTCAGCTCACCACTTTGTGGATATTATCAGAATAGAATTTCTCCCTTGAGCCAGCTGGTGCCTAACAGTCATGACACAGGCACGTAATTTTAACTTAGGTTAACAATAGAATCTGCATTTCTCCTCTGATGCTCAAATCCTGAGCTGGATGCTGCCAGTCTTTCAGGCATGTATACATGCAGCAGTGCATCTCACAGAGTTAATTAAGATAGCATGTGTTTGAAATTTATTGTCTTCACTTTGTATGTTGTAATTCCTTGTAGGGTATAGGATTAGCAAATTTGGATACCTTCATCAGTCTCATTTTTATGACATTTTGATCATGAGCAGCTTGTTTTTTCTTTTTACTTAAGATGGATTTCCATTTAGAAGTTACAAGTTTTTTGCACACGGTAAACTCTATTTCTCAATTATAAAATTCAATTTTTTTTCCTTTGGTGTTTCTGACTACAGTGTTTCTTGTGTGTGTATGTTATCATATTCATTAAAATATGTCAGACTAATTATTTTCTTTGTCTTTCAGTGTCTGGAGAAAAATTACAGCAACAGATAACTATGCAGGTACTTTGACACTTCTGTATTTTTTGTTACTTAATTTTTCATGTAGAAGAATTGTAGGAATTACAAAGAGGAGAACTTCACAGGACAGTCTGATATTAACTACGTAGGTATGTTGGGGATCATGGATCAGACAGTTTCCTGACTGCAGAGATGTCACATTCAAAGAGTAGCCATCTTTTCTGATTTAAACCTAAGCCTTACCATTTAAGCTGTTTACTGCATCTACTTATTGTGTTAATGGTGAGCTCAGAGGATAGATAATATCTCCACTGTTGTCAAATTTTGTAGCACAGGTGTTTTGTTTTTTTTTTTCAAATAAGCAATACTTTGCTAGTGTTCCTTAAAAAAAAAGCTAGAAAACTATTGGTATGAAATTCGTTGCATGTAAATGGTGTCTTTGTTTAGGTTTTCATTTCTTCTGTGAATTTGCCTGAGGCCTCACTAAACTGAAAGTATTTGGGGAGGTGGCTTTTGTCTTGTCCTTCTTACTGTATCAGATGGGACTATCTGTTTAGAAGATCATTGTTATGTATCATTTAGTGTCTCAGCATCATGAAAAGGATATAAGAAACTATACTGAAGTTAAATTTCCCTTTACCATGTGGAGAGGAGGAAAGACATAAGTTTCCTAAAGTGTATGCTCTTGGAAGGACTTGACTTGTAAAGAAAGGGCGTGTTACAATTTCACAGGTCTATGTCCTCTTACTGAATGCTGTTATCTGAATGCTATATAAATGGGTGTTTGTATTGTTCGTGAGATTTATTGATAAGTCACTTAAAAAGCAATCACTAAAATGTTGGTATTTGTGCAATAGCCCTCCATTAAGTAATCTTCCTTCTGAGCCATCAGTTGAGGCATTGGCTCATGCCTGGCCATTATCTGATAATCTAGGTGGAGGACTAACCCATTAGGTGGCTGACCATCCAAGGTAGCTGTGCACATCTTGGCTTTGACAGCATTTCCCCTGCCATGGCACAGCACTGCACAAATGTCACTCACTTGCAGTGTCTTGAGCTGGCATGGCTCCTGACCAAGTAAGGACCTGCCAGTCTGGAAGCCTGTGGGAAGCCTAATCCTGCAACATCAAATAATAATCATAGTTTTGTTCCATCAGAGCTGTTGGAAGCTCCCTGTTGTCTCAAATAATTAAAGAGTGAACATACTTAGCCCCAAACATAGCATTCCATCAAGAAGAGAATAATCTTTGTTTTTTTTCCTAAATAAATGTAAAAATGTTCTGAAAGTTAATGGAAGTTGTGTGCTTTGACTAGGAGTTAATATCCTAAAACAAGCCTAATTAGCATTTAGAAACTAAATTGCATCTGAAAATTAGCCTGAAATGCCTTGCAAAAACACTTTGGGATGTCCTTTTTGGCCAGAAGGGGGGGCAGTTGTATTTTTAAAACACAACGAGGCAACATTGCCAGGGTTGTGGTTGGCTGTCTGGAGATCTAACTCTGTACTGTTCCCCTGTGACAGTTAAGGGCATTGCTCTTTGCTGAGGAAGAGTGGATTGTGTTAAAAAGGATGGTTGTTGAAGTTGCAAACGGTGGACTTGGTCCTATGCTTTGTGTACCTGATCTCGGTCTTCTCCTGCAGCCACTGCCTTCTCCTCAAACTACTGAGCCACTCTGTCTCTGTGCAGTTTGCTAACAAGCATCTAATTTTTCAGTAATATTCCATTACTGTCATATGTAAAGACTATACCCAAATAAAGCTATAAAAAGTTGATCTGGGGACAAATGGTAGACATTAAGTTTTAGATGGATACCAGTGAAATTGGTGATGCTCAATTCCAAACTTCTTTTGAGCTTCCAGGAAACAGAAGAATGTTTTAGAAAATCATTTTATTTCCAAGTGTCAAACTTGCAATGCCATTGCAGAGGCACATATGGTTTGAATTAATATTATTTCAGTAAAGAGGTTTAAATTAAAGTTGATCTTAATGGAGTACCTCCCCTGAGAAGGTTCTTTTTATTCCCTGCACTGAACCACGTTTTATATGTAGATAAAGTACTTTCCCAGCTTAAAGTTTTGTAGTTGTCTTTCATGCTAGTGAAACAGCACTGAGTTAAACTAGCTGCCAGAAATCTCAGTGAGGTTCTGCAAAAGATGGATATTACAACTCAAGAGGAGCAGGAGTACGAAGGGGCAATGGCAGGAGATGTCTTGTTGAGAACTGAGTGAGACAGGGTAGGCATGGGAAATGGATAAAGATGGGGGTTTGGGACTTCAGACGTCTTAAATACCATTGATTTTTCTCTGTGGTTCTTAGCTCCTTCTAAAGTCTAAACAAGTTTGGAAAAATACTCTATAAATATATTATGATGATAGTATCTGTTTCCAAACCCCACTGTCCACAGTTATCACTTTTATTGTCTCATGTTCACTTTCATCATGAGGTATTTGTTGGTTTTCCATGAGCACCCTTTTGTGGTTTAGATGTTGCATGTTCGTGTAACAACAGTAGTCATCTACTGCCCTACCTGAGCAGGGTCATCCAGTCTTTCTAACTACCTTTGCAACTTCAGGGTAAATCCTGGCATCAATCTACAGCCTGATTAACTGTAATGTGTTAACTACTGCTACAGGAAATGCAAGGAAGCAAGAACAGACATTGTGCTTCTGTGTGAACATCTCAGTTATAAAGCACGTTGCAGACTGCCAGTCAAAATGTGTCTGAAGGCAGCGCTTTGTTTCATCCTTGCCACTCAAATCGCTCTGCATTGTGGTCTTCCTATATACTTCTACATGTGGTTTTGCCTAATGCTTCCTGGAAGCTCTGGAGAACTATCAGTATTCATATTTGCATTTTGAAGCTGAAGTTGTTTGCGTGGTCAGACTTTTGGGTAAAAATTTCAGCTGTTTGTCTCTTTTGTGGTGAAATTGTTGGTTGGGTCAGGAGGCTGTTGGAAGAGCTTCATAGTATGTCCTATCATTTTAGTCCCTTGAGAGCTCTTTCCTTAAAGCAGTTCGCTTGCTGTCTTGCATGTTGTATCATTCTCTTAATCTATGAACGTCTCTGTCACAAAGGATTTCCCATTCTATACATGGGGTTGGGGAGATACAATATCACAGAAAGTGCTGTAATGTAGCAGAGTACCTGATAGACCCAGGCTTGAATGAGGAGTAAATGTACATCTGCCAAAGAGGTGGGAAAAAAAAAAAAAAAAAAAAAAAAAAAAAAAAAAGGAAAAAAAACCCAAACCCAAAACCTCCTCTTGAATGTCAGTGTAAGATTATTGTGCAGACCATGTTGGGGAATGACCTGTACATTCTTCAGGTATCAGTGTGGTGTAATATACTCATGTCAAGATGGAAAAAGGCAGTTCAGTCCAATTTCTTTTCCTTATTCAGTGCTGTGGTCTACTGTAGTACTCTTCCTTCTCCTCTTCATTCCCTTAGATGACCTAGCTAGGATATGCTTAATCTACATACAGTGGCTTCCAGGTACAGGTTCTTTCCTGCTTTGACGTCATATTCCTCATTGTTACTTTGTTCCACCAAATTTAGGATGTTGAAAGGATTCAAAAGAAACTACTGCATTTTATCCCACTAAACAAGGGGAATGCTTCCATATTCTTCATAGACTTTCATAATGGTTGAGGCTGGAAGGTATCTCTGGTGGTCATCTGACCAAACCGCCCTTACTCAAAGCAGGGTTAGCATGAGCAGGTTAGCATGCCCAGAACAATGTCTGTGTTTTAGTATTTCCAAGGATGGAGACTGCACAGCCTCTTTGGGAATCTGTCTGTGTTCAGTACCCTTGCAGAGGAAAAGCGTTTTTTTTTTTTAAATGCAAGTGAAATTTCCTATGCTATAATTACTGCCCACTGACTTGTTTCCTGTCCACCTTCTGTCTTCCTCTCCAGTGGGAGGAACATGGCTCCATCTTGATTATATCCTTGCCTCTTTTTTACTGAGGAGCACAGAACTGAAGCCTATACACCAGATGTCTTTCCAGGGTTGAGCAAAATGGAAGAATCACCTCCCCCAGTCTGCTTGCAATGCACTGCCTAATGCTGCGCAGGATGCTGTTGACATTCTTTGCCGTGGAGACACACTGCTGGCTCATGATCAGGACCAGAACCCCCAGGTCCTGTTCCAGGCAGTCAGCCTCCAGCTTGTGACAGGGCGCAGAGTTCATGAAATCATAGAATTGCTCAGGTTGGAAAAGACCTTAAGGATCATCAAGTCCAGCCACAACCTAACCATACTACCCTAACTCTAACAACACTCTGCTAAATCATGTCCCTGAGCACCACATCCAAACGGTTTTTAAACACATCCAGGGATGGTGACTCAACTGCCTCCCTGGGGTGCATATTCCAGTGCTTAACAAACCTGTCTGTAAGGAAGTTTTTCTTTATATCCAACTTAAACCTCTCCTGGTGCAACTTAAGGCCATTTCCCTTCTCCTGTCACCTGTTACCAGAGAGAAGAGACCAATCCCACTCTCGCTGCAATCACCTTTCAGGTATTTGAAGAGAGCAGCAAGGTCTCTTCCTCAGCCTCCTCTTCTCCAAACTAAACAGCCCTGGGGTTGTTCCCCCCAGGAGATGCACTTTGTATTTCCTACTGCTGAATTTCATGATGTTCTAATTAACTGCTTTCACAAGTGTGCTGAGGTCTCCGTGAATGGCAGCACAACCCTCTGGTGATATCTGGTATATGATCAGATACAAAAACTGAATAGGGGAACTTGTTTAGGTTTGCAGTGCACTTAATGCTTTTTTTCTTCCAAGCTGATTGGATCTGATTCTGATACCAGTATCTTCAAGTTCAGAAAACACAATAATCGTTCACTTACGAAGTATTGCATAGTACTGAGATAGTGAATCTCAGCAAATGAGGGAAGAACTCAAACAAGAACAGCAGACACTTTTATTTGAGAATGTTTTCAGTATACTTTTAAAAGAAAATATTCTATGATTATTAAGCCATTGCAGGAATATATATGCAGGAATATATATATGTGTGTAGATAAGAATACATTTTTGAGGATAATTCTTGTGATAAAAGCAAGGATTAGCGTATGTAGCAGGCTAAGAAGAAGTTGAACACTGAGCACAAGTAATGAAAGAAGTGACATGAGATTTGAGGAATGGAAGGCAGAACGGCTAAGAAGTTGGATTGCAGTCCTGACTCTCAGCATTCTGGCAGTCCCCTCTCACTCTGTAAAGTTGCATGGTTTTTTTTACCAGTGTTAATCAGAAATTGGAAATCACAATATTCACATGGGGTAGGCAATTATTATCTTTCCTTGTTTTGCAGACATTGAAAAATGAAGTGTGAAGGTCAAAAACTTTCTCCAAGTTACAAACCAAACACTGTGGTTCTGGCCCATGCATCTGCCCTTAATTGCAGCACAGTCCTTTCTAATCATTCTTCTGCTTCAAAGAAGGACAGTGGTTGAGCTAGTTAGTGTTTTGATGATCTGTAACACTACTGACACGCATACCAAGAGGACAGCTAGACCAAAAAACTTCCACAGAATAAACAAGAGTACTTTCTCTTACTTGAGTAAGATGTAAGAGTACATTCTCTTACATCTTTTCTCATGTGATAAATATGAATTTATTCCTGGTGAAAATAGGATATATTACCTTCCATTTAGTATCAAGAGAGAGTATGCAGCAAATAATTCCCTTTGTAAATTCATAGCCTATTTTGTTCCACAGTAATTTATGATTGTAATCAATTCTCAGGTATTAATGGTTATTTTTGTAAAATTGAACACATGAATTTATTTAAAAGTGTATGAATGTAGACAAATACAGATTTGAGATATCTGTCAATTTTGAGTGCTATATACATTTATATTTATTTTTTGTTTACCAATAAAGTCATCTAATTTGAATAAAATGATAATTGTGATTGAATAGAGAGTGTTTTAAGATCTCTAGAGATCTTACCATCTCTTCCAAAGCAATTTTGGGGAAATTGAATTCTTCGTGCCTGAATATACATTAATGTTCTTTGACTGAACCTAGTTTCATTTGAAACCTTTCTTACTATTTTTAAAAGAACACGATGTCTTGTTTATGTTGGAAGATAAGTGTGTTTACCTGCAGACAAGATGGAAATGGATTCTGTTTACCAGCAAAAAATCCCCGTGGATCTTACCACAGCCACTAATGTGAGAAATATTGCCATGAAATATTGCCATGTATGCAGAAGTAAAACACTACATTGCAGGCTTTTTTTTTTTTTCTTTTTTTTTTTTTTTTTTTTTTTCCTCCTTTGTGGGGAAGGAGTACACTTGTTTATTCATCTTCATTTTTACATGTCTCTGCTTGTAAGTGCCCCTGGTTCCATGGGGAGGCCTCTCCAGTCACACTGCCAGGCTTTCTCCTTGTCAGTCCTCCTGAAAACAGCACCAATTTTAGCTAACTTTGACAGTTACAAAAGAAGAGGGGAAAATTTGTCCTTTCTGAAGGAAAGACAGATGATATATCTAGACATATATATATAATAGACATATCTATTTCATGAGAGGGCAGAGGGTTGGCCAGCAAGCAGGAATACGGCTGGTGAATCACTGCATTCACATCAACCACTTCTACCGGTTGGAAATTGGCAGAAAGTGCAAGTGTTGGGCTGGGAGACAGGATAGAGAAACGCGACTGAAGCCCCTGCAGAACTAGGCCACCGCTTGTCTTGCTGCTTATGAGAACGGCTTGGTAAACAGCTTGCTTGTAGCTTGATGTCTGCAGCTAAAGTAATTCCCTAAAGTAATTGGTGGAAACGATTGAGTACCCAACTTGAAGCCTTTTGGGCTTACAATCACACTGTTTCACAGTATAGCATACACTCTCTGTTCCTTTATTGTTCCAGATATCTTAATAGGCATCCAAACTCTGCATTTGGCTACTCAAAACAAACATCTAAGCAACTCTTTAAGTAGCTGTCTTCACTGTAGCTTGGGAGGGCAGGTTAGGAAGGAAACTGATGTACTGAAATTGTACCATCAAGTCCAGGTCTTCAGTAACTTCTGCTCATTCATCACCTTTACAGGTAGCTGTGCCCTGTGGGATTGTTGCTCTGTGGGTGCAGATGTGCCCCAGTGTTGGTAGCACTGAGCCAGCCTGTTCACTTACATTAGTGTGGTGGGAACCCAGAAATGACCAGCTTGCTGGGAAAACTCACACGTGCCAGATTGGACTGCATGAGGTATGGGTGTACTGAGAGGTCTTAAAACGCTGTTGGGATATCTGTAAAAACTGAGTCAGTGATGCTGGAGATAAGGAAGTCCACGTTCTGTCTTCTGTTTAAAGCCCAGAACTTCTGCTACCTCTAAGACCCCCATTGTATCCCTCCTGTAGATAAAAGTAAGCTATAGAGGGAGGCTTACCTACGTGGTGATTACAGCACTTTCTGGAGCCAATGTTTTGGTCTGATCTTGCAGATTTGATAAACCTCTGCAGTTAATGCCCAGCAGTTAGATCAGCTTCTGGAGAGATACATAGTGAATCTCTTCATAGAGGTGGTGCCCAGGAAAATCAGATTTACCTGTTGGTGCTGGTCACCAAGTGCCAGGACAAGGACCCTAATTCCTCTGGATTAACAGATGTTGGTATCTAGCCTCCAGTGTCAACTCCTTTATTTTAAACAACAGATATTGTTTAAAATATCAAGTGTACTCAAAATTCCTATCTGGCTTGAGCTGTGAATGACCAAGAGACATTATTTATTTTCCTCTTTGTAAAATGACTGTATATATGAGTTATCTTGTACTTGGAAGTAATGATTTTTAGAATTACGTGTCAACAGAGGATACTGTTTAGATTACTTGTCTTGCTTCTGTGCTTCAAATTATGAGAAACTAGGTACAGTAACATTATTTAATGAACTTAAATAAGAGACCCATACGTAATATTTTGTGATTACCTGAAAGTGTTGTCGTCAAATTTAAACTTTGCATATGCTAATAGTAAACCTACCAGCCAGTGACAACCTGAAGTATTTTTTATAATGTTCTTCTTCATTGAACAAGTATCATTTTAGTCTGAGTTAACTCTGAATTTCAGGTTATTTAAGCTGCTTTAGCACAACATTGTTCTTTCTGGTCAGTGACTGCAGTGGCTGATTTAGGTTTTATTAAGAAGACACACAGGAGGACTGAGCTAAGAATTAAATACTGGTTGAACACATTGAACAACCTGTTTCCAAAATGAATGTGACTGCATAGGAATGAGTTGAGGCTAAATATGGTGATGTAAATGGTCTGTGATCTGAAATTTGTCCTTTAGTAGCAGTGCACTTTAGCTACACAACTAGAGAGAAGTGCTCCATGCAAATTGAGTGCATCCCCTGTCTAAACACAGGCAGTCTGGGTTGTAACACCGTCACTTATTTACAAGTTTGTAAATTACTCTGTGAAGGACAAGTCCCATTAAACAGTTGTCAGAAAGCTAGTGGAGTAGCATCAGCATTACATTATCCAGAAAACAATTTATCATCACCACTGATCAACCTTGACAGTGGTTTCTTTGTTTTTAATAAGGTAGGGCGTTTGTTTTTGTTTTCAGTACTTCCTTGCAACTGTCCTGGTAAATTTTTAATCTGTCACTCAAACTGTGTTAGTTTCTGATAACTATGGCATCTTAATTGGGACTTTTTCTATTAACAGCACCTTGATCTTTCTTATCTGTCCCATTTTGAACATGTTTTACAGAAATCACGTTTTGACAGTTAGGGTGGAAACTGGGGGGAATTAATTCCAGATTTGAACAAGAATTGGCAAGTCAAATTAGAGATTAATTTCCTTCATCCAGGCTGCTGACCATATGAATCAGCTTGTTGAAATGGCTGGTGCAGACTGTCTTGCCTCATTAGCACAGGTGACTTTGTGCTTTCTGCACTGGAGGCAGGGAGAGGAGGGGAGCCCAGTGCCATGCTAGCACATAGGCTTCTTGGGCACAGACAAATGGGTTCCTTCTGTCCCGTTACTAAGAAGGGAAAGAATTACTACTGTGGCCCTGATAATGCTGCTGTTTATCTTGCTTTTTTAGGCCTCTCTTCTTTCCCAGTGACCCATGGATCTGGGTTGTTTTCCAAAACTAGCTCTATGCTAGTTGTTCTTTCCACATTTTTTCCACACCAACTCACTATAAGATGGTCAAGATGCAGGATGATGTCCAGAGAAGGGCAAGGAAGCTGAGCACATCTTATGAGGAGCAACTGAAGGAACTGGGATAGTTCAGTTTGGAGAAGTGAAGACTCAAGGGAGACCTTATTGCTCTTTACAGCTTCCTGAAATGAGGCTGTAGTGTGGTTAGGGTCTACCTCTTCTCCCAGTAGGATGAGAAGGAATGACCTCAAGTTGTGCCAGGGGAGATTCAAGTTGGATATTTGGAAAAATTTCTTTTCAGAAAGGGTGGTGAGGTGTTGGAACAGGCTGCCCAAAGAGTCATCATCCCTGGAGGTGTTCAAGAACAGGATAGATGTGACACTGAGGGACATGGTTAGTGGTCAAGGTGGTGATGGGCTGATGGATGAACTGGATGATCTTAGAGGTCTTTTTCAGCCTTAGTGATTCTGTGATTCACCAACATCGGGCCATACTACATTTAAAACTAAAGCAAAACAAACAATCAACAGTGAAAAAAACACAACCAAACAGAACCAAACACAAAGTAATTAAGAAAGAAGGAAAAAAAGCCTCTTTCCCTCTTACCTTTTCTTTCTGACTGACTTTGTCTGTGCCCTTGGCATAACTCTCAGTCACACTGCAGTGAGATGCCTAGCTTTCTGCTGATAGATTCAAGGGACAATAGTCACTGATTCACAAAACTGTTCTGTAGAGCAGCACTCAAAATGTCTGGTATCTGTTAATTAAAACTTACCTGCAGTATTTTTTTTCTTACTATAATAAGCTTTTCTTGTTTGTGTCTGGCTTTGTGTTCACAAGAACCTCCCTTGGACCTGATTGTGTTTCAACTACAAAATACAAAGTTTGCCTCTTCATTAGTCTCTGTAGGAAACTCCAAGCACCTCATATACTCATTTTTTAAATTTATTTTCCCCCAAGCTAATTTAGTAATATTAATGGTGTTTCGTACAAGTACATTTAGGAGTATATATCTCATAGGAATATGTTGTATCTATTGTTATTGACTGTTGGGCTTGCAGCTGGTGGTTCTACATAAGAAATATTCCTAGACCATAATCCAGGGGAAACATTAAATCTGCTGCTACTTTTTTTGATCTTTGGAGAATTTCAGGAGCGGAAAGAAGTGTGAAAAATTCAAAGTACAGTTGTTTCATTCCATAATGGAATTGCATATAAACCACATAGCAACATTATACATCTCTGACAGAAGTACTTCCAGTGTACTTACACTGTTCACAAGGAATACCTCTGGCTTGCGAGGAGCGTAGTGAACTGCCTGAAATAAGTAAGACAAAAACCTGCAGTGGAGTATCTGCAAGGAGAGAGGTTGCTGGTACCTGTCTCCGGAGCAGCTGTTTTAAGCACAAGTGATGAATCCTAGGGTTCATCTGCATTGCACAGAAGGCAAAGCACCTCATCAGAGTTACCTACTTGTGGCCAGTCTCTTCATTGGGAGATCATGTAGGATTTTCCTTTACAATGTTAAACTATGCAGAGACATAGAAAGTTATTAGCTGTGTTAGCACTGCAGCAGAGGATTGTGATCGCTCTGAATTATGTTTTGCAAATGCTTTTCTAACACACACACACAAAAAAGCTGAGGATGTTCCATTCTTCTGGCAAGCTTAAGGAAACTTGTGCGTACATGAGTATAGCAAATGTATACTTATACACATTTTTACACTTAAAGTATTAATGGTTCTGGGCTTCACTGGCATGCGGGAGATTGAATCATTCCAAATTTTTACAGAATCACAGAATTGCAGGGGTTAGAAGGGATCTCAGGAAATCATTGAGGCCAATTGCCGTGATAAAGTCAGTACCCTGCAGCAGGTTGCATAGGTAGGTGTCCAAATGGGTCTTGAATATCTCCATAGAAGGAGATTCCACAACCTCTCTGGGCAGCCTGTTCCAGTGCTCTGTCACCCTTACTGTGAAGAAGGACTTCCATATGTTGTACAGAAATTCCTATGTTCAAATTTTAGGCCATTTCTCCTTCTCCTATCCTTATGCAACACTGAGAAGAGCCTGACCTCATCCATTTGCCTCCCATTTCCCTCTAGACATTTATAAACATTTATCAGATCCTCTCTCAGTCTTGTTTTCTCCAGGCTGAACAGAGCCTCATGTTTTCCTCATATTTCAAATAGAATTTGAATCATCTGCTATAATTCTGGAAAAATCCTTCCTAATCGTTCAACTAGGTGGAAGGTTTGTTAGTTTAAACCTTAATCTAATTTACTTAAAATATGGATGACCTTTTCAAAGACTCGCACCCACCTCCAATCCAAGTAAGAGGATATTTCTTTGAAGTCCTTTGGTACTGAAGCTGCCAGCATCTAAAGACCTAGATCAAGAAGGTGTTCTCCCTGTGCTCACTTATCAGGGAGTCACAGAGTAAATTTTAAAAAAATGAGAATATGTCCCAGACAAGACTCCTTCTGCATCTGCTTTCTACCTAGAAAGAAACACAATAGAATAGAGTATTTCTTTCTTCCTTTGTTCTCTATCCTATGTTTTCTGTTAGGATCACTTAATTTTATTACTCTTGTTTGTAAAAATAAGATCCAGCACTAAAACGTTTAGGAAACACTGCATTGTCTGCACTGCAGGCCATTAAATCTTTGCAAATCAGCCCTGGAATATCATCCTTTTCAATACATTATTATCTTTTTTGCATGGCAGGATGCTCTAATTGCAAACTGTCTAGATGAGATCCCACAAGTGCACTGTAAAACCACTACAAAGCGTAATTGGATGAGTCTTAAGCATTCTTGGCAGTAGTCAGTCTTTTCTACCTCAGTGGCTTGTAAAGGTATTAAAGAAAAGGACAATTTTGATGTGTGTAAGAGAAAGGATTGGCTACTTATTTTTACAGCAAGGAAAATCATTTTGTTGATAGAGGAGAGGAAGGGAATATTTAGCAATAAAAATGGCAGAACAAATCCATTAATGACCTAAAAAAATGCCTTATGTTTCAGCAGCTTCACTAGTTTGTCTGCCAGTAGCCAAGCATTAAACTAACACTCTTAATAAATTCCTTTTTTCTTTGTATTCGAACAAATACAAATTTTAAGTCTACCTTCTGCTCCTGCCCAACTAAAGTGAGACAGATGTCGTGTGCCTACTCATCTAAATTAGACTCCTGGCCATTTCCTAACTTTCTTTCAAATGTGTTAATGCAAATGAAGGATGCAGCACTCCACATAATTATTGGCGAGGGTGCAACACTTCACTGGATTTTAATTCTTGGATGAAATATGTGCAGCCTGTTGCACAGAATGTCAGGTGTCTCAAGTCAAACTCGCTTCTGTCCAAGGTGACCGTTGTGTTCATCTCCCATGCCTAGTGATTGGTTCCCAAACTTAGCTTTTCTTTAGAGAGCCATGAGTGGCCATCCCTGCATTTGGACATGTGGCTGGAAGAGTTTGGTAGGACCATTTGCACTGGAAGGTCTGGAGCCAGATTTAGTAACTGCAAGAGGATTAACTGCTTGTTGCCTGTTGGTTCAGACATGTTCCAAAATGGTGATGCCCATCAGTTTGTGGGCTGCTGCACAGTTAAGAAGGTAAATGTAATGGTCATACATTCTTTTTCTTATTTTCTTTTTTTTTTTTTTTTTTTAATGGTTATTGGTTTGGAATTTTCTTATTTTCACATTCCTTCTTCAAAATAAAGTCAGCATAGCATGGGGATGTTCAGATCTCTACAGTGTCAGAAAATGAGCACTGAAAAAACAGCTGGTGCCAAAAGGAAGACAAAGAAAGCACCTAACTTCATGTAAGCCTGGTATTATAAAATATTAAAATCCTTTCCCAGCATTTCAGAGTTGCAGTAGTAGTTAAACATACCAGAATTAGGTAGTTTTGTTTAAGAAATACAGTACTACTTATTCAGCATCTAGCTGAACAGGTAGTTTCTTGAGAAATTTTCTATTTAAATGTCTCTCATCAAATGCAAAGCCTGATCCAACTCATCATTCATCTTACTCTTGCAGGTTACTAGCCTGGTTACTCAGGCAAGTCTATAAATAGTTTTTGGTTTGTTTTTCTTTTATTTTTCAGTTGAAACAGATGGCAGTGGAACAGTTATGCATGCCTTTGAAAATTACCATTTCCGTTATCTGTTCCCACTCTTAAATATAGCAAGTTAGAGTTGGCATTTACTGCATAACTTCTCACGGAGCTTATAAAAATGTTTATTAGTCACTACTGTTGTATTCACTTTGGGAAATGTATCTGAATGAGAAGAGAAAGTGGAGAGGGGAAGCAAATAACAGTATTTTACCTACTTAGGTAGTTTTTTCCCCTTCAGAACTTCCATTGTTTTTCCCCAGGTCCTCTTTTTTCCTTCTGTTTGGGGCCTTTTTTTTCCCCTGATTCTTCCTTTGCCTCATCTTGCTGAGAGGGAGCCCCTTTCAAGTGACTCCCACTGTGCACGTTGTCCCTTTAGGGTGTTTCCTGAGTTTTCTCTGAATAGTTCTGCCCATCTTTCTGTGAAGTCTTCTAATCCTTTGAAAAATCCTTCAGTAGTGGTTCCTACAGCTGCATTCACAGTTTCTGAGGCTAAAATACAGTCCTCTTCTGATATCTCCTCAGGTTATTCTCTGAGGTTGGTCCTGCACCACAGGTGGGCTGTTTGAAATTGAATTAAATCATGCCACCCACCTTTCAGTCTTTACACTTCCATCCTGGCCTAGTGGAACCAAAGCATCTTCCATTGGCTTTGGATGACAGGAAGTTGAACTCTTCCTTTGAAGAGTTGGGCTCATTTTAGCAGCTTTGGTTTGAAATTCTGGTTGTTAAGTCTCTTTGTACTGAAATGTCCTCAGAAATAGACTGCTAAACTAGAATTACATAGCATAGGAATGATGTACTTCTGCCTTCTCCTGAATTTTTTCTGCATTGGGGTACCACAGTCTAGTCACAGTTTTGGGGGACTGTCTTCTGTTTTATAAAATACCCCAGATCCGTGCTGATTAATTTAAGACCTTTGATTACTTTGTTCCTGTCTCTGCTGAGCCCGGTGTTGAGTGCTAGATTTCTCTGTAGCCCATATTTTTCATTTTCATCTTTTAAAGTCACTTATAAGGTCAAAAAATTCAAATAGTTTGTAGGCCTGTGGTTCTACAGTAGCATTTGTAATTTGTCATCCCCTCTCTTAGTGCCAGCACTACCTTCTGTAATTATACATCAACCACACACCTGAACTCTTTCTATCCTAAAGCAGAAGGGATAGATCTCTATGCACACATGTTTCTTCTGTTTAAATAATGAAATATTAGATCACAAAAATTAGATGATATGAGAAAGATCACATCAGGCCAAACTGCAAGAATTGTTATCCTTTTGCAAGTCTGAAAACATTGACACAGGAGAGCTCCCTTAGATGTACAGGTCCTTCATGGCTCTCTTCTTTTATTGCTTTCACCAGTACAAAAATCATTTTACTCCATTCAATGAAAGCAAATGTCTGTTGGTCTGTGGCTTGTGGCAGTACCCAATGGCCTTACCCCCCAGGTTAGTTTTTCTCACTGGAAACTAATACATGTTAAGATAGGCTAACTTTTCTTCAAACTGACAGTTTTTTCTATAGGCTTTATATCAAACAGGAATTCAAGTTGTGTTCAGTGTATTGCCATTTCTTACATTATTTCTCTGAATTGTTAACAGCTTTATTGGAGTTGGTCTGTGAACTTTCCTATCCTCTGAAACCCATGCTTTAGGGTCTGCTAGTCCACAAATCAACTTTCCAGTAAATGTTTAATCACTTTATGGCAAAAGAATCCTTCTGTGTGGATTTCCAAAAAAGTTAGGCCTATGAAATCAGATGGTCTGTGTATGGGTGTCCATCTGGTTACCTGGTGTTTGCTATGGGATATTTAAAAACATATTGACCAATTTCCTCCCTTTCAGAAATGCAAAGAAACAGGCAGTTTATTGATGTCGCAGTGCTGCAGGCTTGCCTGCAGAAAGGAGGCAAAAGTGTACGAGCTATAGTAAACAAAATAGAATCCACTCAAGAAGAGAGAACAAGAATAGTTAAGATGCAAAAATGTCTTCAGTCAACTTGCATGATAATTTGTAGAATTTGACTGCAAAACACAGACTTGAGCTTCGCTGTTCCTGCAGCTTGTGGATTTCATGGAAGCTGGCGACACTAGAAGAAATGTTTGGGAGGAAAGTCTCATCTTCTTACATTCTTTGCAGGGTCACTAGTTGATGTTTAGTTAGTTGGTGACATTAATGTTGATGTTTAAATAAGTTAGGTGGAATAAGCTTTGAAAACACTTATTTTTTGGCTGTGACTGCAGCTAGCTGAGGTTCGGTATGGCAAACGCTTTATCTGCATGCAGCCTAATGCTTGTGGTTTCTGTGACCTATCCATAGGGATCGGGAAGACGAACTGTTTGGAGAGGGGGTCAGCTGTCACTCTACCCTATCCAAAGGCACTGATGTCACCTATTCAGGAGCCTTCATTTGGTTCCCTACTACCAGCACTGGCTGTGCAGCCACTGGGGGGCAGGGATTCCAGCTCACAGTGGTAAAAGCAGGTTCACTCAACAATTGGTTCAGTTGGCTCAGTTTAGAAAGCTGTTAGCAGCACTGTAATTCAACCAGTGCTGTCGTGGAGGGTAAAGGTAATAGGCATGGTGTAGGCTGGCCATCCCTGCTGGGAATATTGGCATCCCTCTGTGTCTTGAAAGATTTGGTATATGCTATCTTTCTGTAGGCAGACCTGCTGTGCACTGCCAAGTATTATGTATTCCAGTAATTAGCTCAGCCTGTTGCTAAACTAGATGTATTGATCAAGTGGTTCAAGATAGGGCTTGTAGTACTTAAGGCACCTTGCTTGCACACCACTGTCTGTGCCACTGTTGGAATGTGATAGGGCTCGGCTGTGCTGTGGCTGCATTTTAAGGTCTGTTTTTTTCCATGTTTGCAGGATTTCATTCTCCCACCTCCAGAGACACAGAGGAAAGCGGCGCAGAGCAGGCATATTCCTCCTGAACTTGGCAGGCAGGAGGTGGCCATGATGGGCAGCCAGCAATGGCAGGGTAAGGCCGACCCTTTTGGTGCAGTAGCTGTCTCCTTGGTGAGCGGACTCTCTGAACAGCAGAAGATCAGCAAGTCACCCTACAGCCAGTTCAAAAATTTGCCCCTTGTGCTGCATCCTTTGAACAAGACTTTGGTTACGGGTGACCAGTGGAAGGATGTTGATAGCATCCAGGAAAAGCGCAGGTCTTTCCTATATGAGTTCTGCAAGAAATACAACAGTATGAAGAAGTTGAGAACTCACCTGGTGCACATAGTGTCAAGAATTTACGTGGAGGACAGGCACAAGGTCCTGTACTGCGAGGTGCCAAAAGCAGGCTGCTCCAATTGGAAAAGGGTCCTCATGGTGCTCAATGGACTTGCCACTTCAGTACGCAATATTTCCCATGATGATGTGCACTACGGAAAGCACCTAAGGAAACTGGACAGTTATGATCTAAAAGGAATATACGCACGTTTGAACACATACACCAAGACTATATTTGTACGTGATCCTTTGGAAAGACTGGTATCTGCCTTCAGGGATAAGTTTGAACATCCAAATAGCTATTACCATCCAGTGTTTGGGAAGGCAATAATTAAGAAGTATAGACATAATGCAAATGAGGAGGCATTGGAAACAGGATCAGGAGTTAAGTTCAAGGAGTTTATCCAGTATCTGTTAGATTCCCATCGTCCAGTAGGAATGGACATTCACTGGGAGCAAGTCAGTAAGCTCTGCTATCCCTGCCTCATCAACTATGATTTTATAGGAAAGTTTGAAACTCTGGAAGAGGATGCCAATTACTTTTTGCAGCTGGTAGGTGCTCCAGCTGAGCTAAAGTTTCCTAGGTTCAAAGACAGACATTCCTCCGATGAGAGAACAAGTGCAGAAGTAGTGAAGCAATACTTAAAGGAATTGTCTAAAGAGGAGAGACAGCTGATCTACGACTTCTATTACTTGGATTATTTAATGTTCAATTATACATCACCAATTGTATAGAATCAGAATAGCTTCAGGCTTCTATTAGATATTTATCATGTTGGGATTCAGAAGAACTACTTTGATGCTACCTCTGAAAGGAAACAGAGTGGCTGCTAAGTGGAGCTGTGTTGGCTTAGTGCAGGTTTTATAAACTAAAGTGACATAAAGTTACAATAAAATGCACCGAAAAGTAAGACCCATAAACAGCATAAATTGCAGTAAAATGCCTGAAAGAGCTGCTTATACCATTATTGTGGAAGAGGTAGCACAGCCAGATGTTACATTAGCTTACCTAAAGTTCTTTAAGAGTTTAAGAAAAAATCATTCGGAGTAGCATGATTCCTTTTGGTGTGTCTGCTTCATAAATTGGTTTTGAAACTATTTTTTGAATGTATTTTTTACTTTCTGTCTCTTATTAATAAAGAAGCATTGGCTAATTTTCTAAAGATGTTTGCAGTATTCTCAGTTGTATGAGTTGGCTGTTTGATTACCATTGGACTGTAGCTGCTTTTAGATCTGAGTATTTTACATTGGAGGATGGTCATGAGAACAAATGCATAACACTGCAAATGACACAGCAACTCAGCTGTTTAGCAGAATAAGTTTGGGTTGCAACCTGAAATCACTGTCCACTACCCTATTTTGACTGATGTACTATATAGATGATACATAACCCTTCTTTCAGAGAACTGATATGTGCGTTAAAATTAACATTTTAATTTTACGCTGGAGTCAACCAAATGATGAATACTGTGGCACCAGTATTTAAGATAGTCTTCATATTTAGCTTAAGGCAAATTCTTAGACTGGTGGCTAAGGGACATGGCAAAGTTTGTATCAAGAAGCAGTTTCATTGCAACTGCTGTGATTGCTCTTGGTCTGCCAGTATCCAATCATCAGCCCAGGCCCTGGCAATCTGTTGCACAAATAGGGCCAGGATGTCCCAGGAAGAGAAGTAATCTCTACAAAATGGATAGAGGAAAATCAGAGTACAAGTAAGTGAAATGTCCTTTTCCTTTGTTCCCCAAAAATGTTCATGACCAGAACTGTTGCTGTTCTTTCCTTTATCTTGTGTGTATATATGGCATTTTTATTCCTTTCACAGGAGTAATTATGGGTTCCTGTGACCCACAGGGAGACAGACCATTTTCCTCACATACCTTCATTGCTTGTTTCTCCCTTACTTTTCTCCCCAGAAGAGGAGAAAATCTATTTACTGCCTTTATGGTGCTGATGCATAGCCCAGCAGGCTCTTCCCATCTCTTCTTAAGGCAGGATGAACTGCTCTGAGAAGAAAAGATAAGAGCAGACTGGGCAGCCAAAGGCAGAGATTGTACCAGATGGGGCTACTGGCACCCGTGGCAAAGCCAGCCCATTCCCTGGGCTGTGGAACAAAGACAAGAATGAAAAAGCCCACAAACCATCAGCAGTAGGAGGCTTGGAGAGGTGCAGATGTTCAGCACCAACAAGGAGGTACATGGATGCCTTAGGGAAGTGAGCACAGTACTACTTTATGAGCCATCATCGTGCATAGATAGACCATGGGTGTTAACAGCGGAAGTGTTTGGAATGGGACTGTTGAGACCTTTCTTCAGGTAAGTGCCTCAAATTCTGGTTGCTTTGCTCTTGCCATGAGTTCTTCCATGTCATCAAGGAAGTTGAGTAAAGAATGAATGTACACCAACCTTTTGATTTCCATATATTTGCTTTGTCTTGTCTGATGTAGGTGTTTGTTAATTAATTGCTAATTTGCAGACAAAAAAAGGAAAGGCTTATATACCAATTTGTTCCCCAAACCATATGCAAATGAAAAGTTTAGCATGCTAATAAAGAATGGAGATGAATTAATGCATGTTTTGAATTATTTCTTTAATACAGAGAAATACATATTAATACATTACAAAGCACAAGCTCTTTGGAGACTTAACGTTGAGCTTGCCTCAGTGACAAGCTTTCAGCCTATCTGACCAGAGAATGAAAGAGATTTGGATGTGGAGAGGGATGTAATTGTACTGAAAAAGCTGTACAGTCTCATAAGATTTCGTCTACTAGCTGTTCTCAGATAAAACCATTGTTTGAGTTGAGAGGGTGAAAGAAGTTATTAGCAAATGTTTGGTTTCTGCAAATGAGAGGGAAAATGACACTGATTTGCGAGCATCCATGGACATAGGCACCAGGTCCCTGAGCTTTCATCTTTAAAATCTGGTATGGTTTGCATTTGTGATTTAAAAAGGGAGGATGCTACTTAAGGCTTTTGAAGTGTGTGTGCACAGAAGTGTAATTGTTTTAGCTGCACTGTTGTTCTATGGCTCTAGTGAAAGTAATTCAACTTCTTTGTATGCTCAACTTCAAATTTCATAGCCCCTCACTGCACTTAAAAATTCATTTTTTGAAAATCTAAGCCTGATTTTTGCAAAGAAGAGCCTCTCCACAGTCATCTTCAGTGACCTAAGGGATTCAGATGATCTCAGTAGCAGAATCTAGATTGTACTTTGCCTCATTAACCACATTTTGAAAATCACCAGCCTGCTTTGCCAGGAATTAAGTTACATGATTTAAAATTAACATAAGAGTTTAGCATAATTGAAGTGGGACTGTGATATCAGACTTGTGGGATTATATAAGATGAAGGCATAATTTGCAACATAAAAGATAACCTCTATTTTTAAAAGTAAATTTTAAAAGGTCAAAGTGTGAGACTGAGTTGTAGCTTAGCTTATATTTTGTGAGAGTGTGAGGCAAAACATAAAAGCTGAAGGTCATCCACTGTAACTACGTAAAATTCCATCTCCAATACTGTGCACAAATGTTTTACTCAGAAAAAGAATGTATGCAAAAGCAGAATGACATTACACTCCAAAACATTCAGTGCAATTGCATATACACTAAAGAACTTGTTTTATGGGACTCTATTATACTAAATGCTTTTTAGTTACAAACATCTCTTCATTTGAAGGTCTCGAAGGTCTTCTGTAATACACATCAGTTGTAAGGATAAGCTGTGTCCTGTAAAGCCATCAGAGTGAGTCTGTGGGGGCTCAAGTGGGAGGAGAGCACTCTGTTGGCTGTTTGGTCTGCTCTGAACATCACCATTGTTCTTCCCTTTTGAAGAAAATAATTGGGAAAGATAATGTTCCATATTTGCTTTTCTTGTTGAGTGAATCAGTACTGATATAAAAATAAACTAGATTTTATAGATGCACCTTCTCTTTTTCTTGCTATTTTTGCCCAAATAAGGTAACTGCATCTGTGTAGGATTTGGCTTGCAGAGCCATCATTCCTGCCTCTTCCAAAGCCAAGCTGTTGCTCACTGGCAATCAGAGGTGTGCAGACACAGTGCAATCAAATGCGGCACAGCCCCCTGAAATGTCCTCTGGTGCAGGTCCCCCAAAAGGCTGAAATTATTGGAGCTACTCTTGCCTCAGGCTGATCTATCTCGGTGATGGGTCATTGGAGATCACCACTTTAATTTTAAATGTAGTTTAAATTTAAATGAAAATTACAATATGACACTTTTCAGAAGTCTGAGAGGAAAATATTTTAATAGAGCTCCGTATTGTGTATGTGGGTTATATAAAAAAAGTCTTTGTTGTACATGCCTTCAGGCTAGCAATGCATCAGATAAGTATTTTTAACTGTTATGTTAAAACCAGTTTATCAGCCATGTAACCTGCTGTGATGCTTTCAGAACTAAATGAATCTGGCTTTGGAACCTGATGTTTGAAATCAAGCCATAAATTGTTACACTTCATAAAAAATACAGATGTACTTGTCCGGTATCTAGAAATTCATTTATAGTCTAGAGACAAGGGTAGGGATGCTTAGTAATAGGAAATGTAACTGACTCAGCAAAGGAAAGCTGCCCATAGCCATGGATACATGCAACTGATCTGCTGTCTGAAATGTTAGTCTGGGGAACAGGAAGCTCAGGGGGAGACCTTGTTGCTCTCTACAGTTACCTGAAAGGAGGTTGTAGGAAGATAGGGGTTCGCCTCTTTTTCCAGGTAACAGCAATTGAATGAGAGGTAATGGCCTGAAGTTGCACCAAGGGAGGTTCAGGTTGGGTATTAAGAGAAATTTCTTCTCACAAATAGCAGTGAGGCAGTGGCACAGGCTGCCCAGGGAGGTGGTACGGTCACCATCACTGGAGGTGTTCACAAACTGTGTGGAGGTGGCATGGAGGGACATGGGTTAGTGGGCACAGTGGGTGTGGACTGATGGTTGGACTAGGTAATTTTAAAGGTCTTTTCCAACCTTAATGAATCTATGATCATATGATTCTATTTCTAGTTTATTGAGAATGTTTTCAGTGAAATTAGGTGTTCATAAATGTATCTGATTGAGGAAAGAATGTCTAAGCTCTTTGCTCAGTAGCTAATTGCAGGGAGTTCCATAGATGGCTAAGAAGTAGCTCTGCTTATATCTACAATGTCAGATACGGACTTCAGACACCTGGATTCTCCTCTAAGCTGTGTAACTTCATGTGTGCCTGTTGAGCAACATGTCCTGCTCTCTGCCTCAGTTTCCCCATTGGCAAAATAGGCCTGTAAAGGATGGTAATTATACCACATGCTTTCTGCTAAAGGCTTTGTACTCTGCGCATAAATAGCTGTGTTTTTAAGTAAGGTCTTAGTATGGAACTTATCTCATAGGATGTTCATGCCCTTTCTTTATATTTTATTTCCAATTGAATGGAAGAAGCCAGGGACTTCCCAGTTTTGTTCGAGCCAAGAACTGCACCATTCAGCTCTGTTCTGTGCAGTTGGCAGCCTTAAGAATGCAAGCTCTGTTTCAAAACACTGTGCATCTGTCAAGCCTGCCCAGGCATTGCCTCAGCATAAAACCAGTGCCAGGTTGTCTGACCTGGGGAAAGTGCCCCTCCGGTTCCTTTGTACAGATGAGAGCAGACTGAGAATCTTGCCTTCTCATTGTATTCCAAGCCCAGCTTTGGTGCCACAGCTCTAAATAGAATGGTGATCAGCTTGGACACTCTGGAGAAGCAGGAGGGAGATCTAAGTGACGTTAATGGATTCCACTCATGAAGGCAAACCCCTGCCTTTTCTAAGATTGCAGAGCTGCATCACCTGGTCTGCATTACTCAGCTCCTCCTGAGGTCCTGGCAATCCTTGAGATAATCTCTGCTTTCCCAGCTCTTAGGATGTAGCTCCCACTAACAGCCAGTTTCTTGATAGCTGTATGGGAGCGACTGATAAAATGGAGACTGCATTGGTACAGAGTATGTATACTCATCTTTAAATAGAGATGCAATTAAAAAACCTGATGGAGAAGAAACAGCCTCCTTTCCTTACTAAAGAGACAAAGAAAAAAAACTATCATCACTTATATATATATATGCATACATATACGTTTGTATATATAATTATTGTTTCCTTTACTCTGCCTTCTCACAATTTCCTGCCTTCTTAAATATGTCAGCACAAATAGGTGCAACCAATTGCTGATTCTCTCTCAGCTGTCAAGTGTCAGACAGCTCCAGCCCAGCACATCTATGTTAGCATGGCACTGAGGCTGCACTAATCAGCCTGCCTGAGAGTATGGTACTGTCAGTCACCATCTGTTCACACGTAGTTCTTTTGGCCTTTTCATGTAGAAATTCCTCCTACTTTGTCAAATTCCTTCCAGAAAGCAAAGTTTCCACAGAACCTCTTGATACTGCTCATTTCCCAAGATTTCCAAATTTGACTCATCCCATATAATTTGCATTCAAGAAAAAACGTTCTGACAAATATGGGTAGGAGCTGAGCATTTTTTTTTCCAGGCATCTCATAGAGCACTCGGTGATAAATCATAGAATCATAGAATGGCCTGGGTTGAAAAGGACCTCAAAGACAATTTAGTTTTAATGCCCCTGCTCTGTGCAGGGTTGCCAACCACCCGACCAGGCTGCCCAGAGTCACATCCAGTCTGGCCTTGAATGCCTCCAGGGATGGGGCATCCACAGCCTCCTTGGGCAACCTGTTCCACTGTGTCACCACCCTCTGTGTGAAAAAAACAAATGTATGTGAGCAGGATATTAAATGCTGAAGGTCTAATTTTCCCAAACAGTTACTTGAGTGTAAAACTGAATGTAGGCAGACTGTTATGTGCCTACTGAATTATCTCTATTTTGATGAAGGCAGACACACGCATAGACAGATCTTTTGGGAATGAGTTATCATTCATCTGAGAAACACTATGTTAGAGAGCTGAGTTCTGCAACTAAAAACTTCCCTTCCTACAAACTTGCACACATACATGTATTAATGAACTTGTGTTTTTTTATAAATGCTCAATTATGTACATGAACATTTAGTCAAATGCTGCTCACTGATGGTAGAGGGAGCTACTCAGCTTAAGTCCTATATTTGACCCAAATAATCTTAAGTCTGTGCTAGGAGATATGCTCTCTAATGAAAAAGAGTTCTCATCTATTGGCTCGGGATGTGCTGTCAGAATCATAGAATCATAAAATCATTAAGATTGGAAAACATCTTTAAGAACATCCAGTTCAGTTGTCATCCCATCATCACCCTGCTCAACTAGCCCATGTCCTTAAGAATTTAATTAATTCCATTCTCATCTTGAACTGTAGCAGGAAAGGATCACAGTAATGCTGCATGTACAATGGTATTGTATGCTATGTAGGCATAGTGAGTGCAACTGCACCTGATTCTTATCATGGCTCAGATTTAGGGGAGAGGTCCTTTGGTGGGGGACTTGGAGGAGGGGAATTAGACAGTAGTATCCACATCTCTGCTTTCAGGAGTGTTATGGAGTTTCTACTTATAATGCACCCCAAGCAACTGACACCAGCTGTCACCTTTTCTGCTATT